AAATTTTTTTTTATTTTTTTTTTTTTTTTTTAAATTTTTTAAATTTAAAAAAAAAAAAAACCCCTTTTTTTAAAAAATTTAAAAATGAAAAAATTAAAAAAGGAAAAATTTTTAAGATTTTTTTTTTTTTTTTTGGGGGGTAAAAGAACCGGGGGGGGGGTGGGATTTTCCTTCCTTGTACTTATGATATTCTTTAGTTACACTTAAAAGTTAAAATAATTAAACTTCAAAACATTTAAAACAATTTTCAAAAAGAAAAAAAGAATAAAATAATTTTCATATAGGTAATAGCTTCTGAATTTGGAACTCTAAACCTTCTTTAATAAATAATGTAGGCAGGAGCAATTAACAGCGCAAATAGAAATATTTAGTGGTTTGTGTCAGCAATCCAAAACAGACAGTGCAGACGGTCGCGTCCTCATCAGAAATTCTCGAGGGTACTACAATAAATGTAGGCCACAGAGTTCCCGCTACCCGCCACTAGAATATTGCTTTGTCACTTGGCGACATCTCGCAGCTTTCCTAAGCCCAAGTAATTGGAAATAGCTGAAATAGACGTGTCACAGTAATACTGCTTCAATTTCAAGTCGGAAATGTTAGTGAGCGGAAATCTTACACGCTTAATCATTACTTTTTCGAAATTAAATTTCTCAACGATTTTTTTTACGGAATAAGTTCTTAAAATATATATTCTTAATATACTTAAAACAAAAAAGTAGCATAATATCCAAATATTTACAAAATTATGTGCAGATACGGCTTTTCAATTTGAAAAAAATATAAACGACAATCAAGAAACTTGGAATCAAAATTTAAATACAAGTGAGCTAAGTAGAAAGAAAGCAATGCTTACGTAATAAAATTTTAAGACTTATAAACTAAACCTGGATAGGAGGGGAGTCCTGAGAACGCAAACAAAATTTCTTGTACATTGTTATGAATTTATTGTTTTTAGCTAGTCTTCATCGTTTTTTATCCCTAATATTCAAAGCAAAATAAAATTTATCGGTAATTGACAGAACGTAATTCACTACATCTTGGCTTTTGCATATTTAAGTATGTTATCAACGTCGAGAAATGTAATACTCAAAATATAGGTTTTAAGATATAACTTAATTACAATTCAATTTTTTACTTCAGTTTAAAAACAACAGTATTACAATTTTATTCTTCTACATCATCACGAGCTCGTAAAAGTTTATTGTGCTAATATTTACCGTAATCGTTATACTTGGCAGGCGCATTGACCATCTCTACTATCCATAGATAATATACTATACAGACACTATCAGACGCCTTCACGCTTACTGCCCGTTGTCCGTCTTGGTATTTCATGTCTGGCGTAAATGAAATAGTTATACCGCCTTCTATCGGAAGACATAAGTATTTCAAGCATTTCCCATAGCAGCCTCTGACAACGCCCTCGGGACGAAAAGTATTTACTCTTACATCGCCATAACACGGCACATTTTCATTCCACTTTTTTATTCTAATAGACAAGCATCAGTAGATACTCAGGATTCATGTTTTATTATTATGTAAAGTTTATATAATAGCCATTTTTACATAATAATTTTGCATAGCCTGTCAGCATCACAAAAATTGAAACGAAAGTAATTTTTAATATCATAAGTACAACAAAGCACAAATGAATTCTCCAAATCGTTATAAACCAGAATTTATGCATTTGAAATAATATGAATAATACTTGTAGAAATCAAATTATTGAAGCTAATGTCATCGAGAACTACGAGTCATTCATTCAAGTTTTGTGAACGAATATAATATTTCACAATGCAATGTATCATAATTTTACTTCAAATAATAATGGAAATCATAAAAATGTTATAAAATGACAACAATACTTAAATACATGTAAATAATCTTTACATTTATTTCAATACGAGTGAATGCAGGACACAAATTAAATGAGACTCTTCGCTCTATTGTTGGAAGTCAGAATATGTCAAAAAGGCACATAATATGGCAATTCACAATGCTGTATTAGTCCCTAATTTGAAGTATGTAGTAAAAGCTGGGTGTGACAGAAGTAACACGAAAATAGATTTATTTCTGTAAAAATGTGGTCCGTAAGAAATACACACTTTAGGAGTAAATCTGAGGGACAGGGTGAGAAATTGTGTAAGTAATAAGAGTAAAAAGTGTGCTTTGCAAGAAGATTTTTCGATCAGGATTTATTTAGATTTGATCATTTAAAAAAATGAATGAAGAAAATGTGACAGATCAAATTTATGTTGCTGAAGTGGATGGTAGGGTCGGCAAGGGCCGCCGAGGACGGAAGTTTACCGACCAAATTGGCTATATATTAAACATGGGCCAAATTAAGAGTAGGAGTACTCTTATTCAAGAGCACGTAGGCGTAGGTTTATGAATATAAAAAAGGCGAAACCTCAATTGATTTGTGTCAGGATCATGCCAAGTAGACTGCTTTGGGTGAGTGGGTTATTGTATTCATATATTGCTTATATTAGAGAAAAAGAAATAATCGAAACGTGATGCATGCAAGCGTGTAATACAATGTTTAGTATGCGAACAGCGCACGCACTAGATGCCGCCGTTTCTAGGCTCACAGCTGAGATGCAATATGTAGAAATTGCTACGTGGCTTGCACTTTTTTGTAGCAGAATTGGTAAGTAAATGGTCACGACCACTTCATACGACCTATAAAGTACCTGTTGTTTTTAAATAACAATATAAATAATTGAATGCGCCCGTAAGCTTAAGAGATAAAAATGAAAAGAATTCAGTTTTTGTTGCTTATGAGTTAAAATTCATATAGTATACATTTCGGTCACAAGGCTCAATTTTTGTCTAAGAGTCCGTCTGGGTTAAAACCATTGTCTTATTGAAATAATACTAGTTTTTATGGAATTTATCGCATATATTTAACTTTTTAAATACCCGACGTTTCGAACGCTTTACAGCACTCATGGTCACGGGCGTTCGAAACGTCGGGTATTTAAAAAGTTAAATATACGCGATAAATTCCGTAAAAACTAGTATTATTTCAATGTGTAGTGTTCGCGTAAATATAAGAAATCATTATGTAAACCATTGTCTTACTTCGTTCTGCCGCCATGCTGCAATTCTCCCATTATTGTGTTCCAGTCCATAATAACCTACAGTAAAAGCGTCATCGAACCAGTATAGTAAATTACTTCTAAGTCCTTAAATATGTCAGGGCATTTGTGTCTTTTTGTGCTTAAAATTGATCGCAGGTGTCGCGGGCCTTGCAATACGACTTACCATCTGATGGACAGTTAACTCATTTGTCACAGCAATATTAGAACAACTTGTGAAAAATCTTTTATTGGACTTACAACGAAGCAAAAATTATTTTATACATTTCGTACCATTCGATTAGTTGCGATACATCGAATGGAAAACATAACCTCCATTAGCAGTCTTAGTATTCAGTGATTACTTGTAATATAGGTCGAGAAAGAGCACTCGTACATTTGCATTCTAATCGAGTAAACAAAGATTACATAGATATTTTATTAGATAGAAGTAACTAACCTGACTTTATATTGAGTCGTAACCTATAGATTCCTCGTACAATCGTAAGGAGATAAAGATCTTTTGTATGGTAGAGCGATAGGTAAGGCTGGCTATACACGCTACTGTACACGTGAAGCAGTTACAGGAATGAGCTCATCCGGATTAAGCCCGAGGCGGTTGATTATGCCACTGTTAGATTTACGATGACGTGATATACCGAGCGCCGGGAAGTCCCCAGCCAACACCGAAAAGGAACAATTTATGGCGTCGAAACTCTCGATATAATTAGGCGGACAAAGTGAACAACAGTATAAAATATGAGGTTCTACTCTGTCAACATTCGAATAAATGAGGGTCGAAGGATAATATTAGAAAAATGCTACGTTTTCAGAATAAAATTCAATATAGCCCTAGTGTTCTACACAGGAAACAGGCAGTTTGTATGCGGGCCGTGACAGTGATTAGCCCTAGGTAAAGACACACTAATCCAGCTAAACTTCATTCTACTCTCCCTCTCGAACGAATGATTGTTACAGTTTTGTCCTCCTATTATTCTTTTAATTAAATGAACTGAAATAAATGTTATTTGTATTTTAACCCTTTCCACGCCCCATTAATCATATATGAACATTTCAATTATTTAACTATTGTTTGTTTCGGGGGCAGGTAATCTCTTAAGACAACTTTTAAAACCATTGTGTCTGTGTAAAGTCAAAAATACAATTAATTGAACCACAAAATTTCAACTATAAATTTCTTCTTTCTTACTTTTAGCTACGATAAGACGATAATTCACCTTAGACATTAATTAAAATGCTCTAAAATAATACTGGAAAATATAATAATTTCACAATCAGAAACTCGATATGCTCGGTAGCGGCTTAGCGGCGCTGCGGATTGCGGTATCGATTCCGGATTTGGGTGATTGTGCATGAGCAATTATTATTATTAAAAAACTACAAAAAATATTAATAAAACATACTAATATATATATATATATATATATATATATATATATATATTCTTAATAAAACATACCATTTCCTTCTAACTAATATAAAGGGGCCTTTTTAGAGCTGTTAAATTTTATATTAAATATAATGTTATAAGTAGATTGTAAGTAGTAATGAGCAGTGTTATTGCAAATATTAACGGCATCCTCTAAATATTCCATTTAATTTACTCTGAAATTTGCAGTAGAATTCCAAAAGATATTCGGGATTCTCTTTAACTTGATATTATTTTATAAAATAACATTCTTTACATTGCCTTTTTTAAATTTATGTATCATTGGATATGAAAATGACAAAAAAATTATATCTGTAAGAAACCTTATTTCGGAACGGTAGTAGAAAATACGAGTGACATACTAAATTGTAACTTTTATATCATTATAAATTAATTTCGTTTTATTACTGAAATATCAATTAAACGATATTTTTAACATATCAGCATTAAATACCGACTTTGAATTGGCTTCAATCGCAACATGTCGCTATATTTTTCTGCATCACTATATTTTTTGGCTTCAATCGCAACATGTCGCTATATTTTTCTGCATCACTGCATATTCTCGATGTAACTTCGATATACTCTGACAAAAACAATAGAAACGTATTTAACAGAGGACAAATATTGCCGAGATTAATACCAGATGAACTCTCATCAATATTGTAGGGAACTTTAAATTTATGAGTAATGGTAAAAAATCACAAAATAGTAAAAAGCTCATGTTGAGACCTGAATATAAAAACGGCTAAAAATACTTTTCGAGATGGGAATCGTTTGTTACGTAAAATTAATGTTTATAATCCGCCGGTAAATAGATCACCTTCAAGAATATGATATAAAGCATGCATATAATCAATCAATTGCTGTTGCTGTAACCATTCTGCGAGATCTAGATTCCTTGTTTCTAGTTGGATTTCTCGACATCAGCCGCTCATCACAGCTTCTCCCGTGAAAAAGCAAAGTACATCACGTGCAGGTTACATTACGTAAAAATGAAAAGTAATGTTCAGCCTACATACGTCCTCCAGTCAAGGCCTCTTCCTCTCATTTCTGAAAAGATTATGGAGCAATTTGTCAACCTCGCTGCTCCAGTAAGTAATGGCGGACTTCACATGTCCGCGAAATACTTTTATTCCTCAGACGTGCGGGAACCTGTATTCTCCTCATTTACCGCGGAGCACGTAAATCAGTATTAATTGCAATTAACAATTTCGTTAGTTAGTGACGACGGGGATCGAACTCTGGTTGCTGACGTACTGTGAAAACGGCAAGCGCTTACCCCCTGAGATACCACGGTGCCTCCAGTAATGTAAAAAATTAACTACAAATAAACAAACTTGCGCATAAGACTAAGCGTGAATTGCTCGTATTCTTTTTTGCTCAAATATTTACCAACGTTTGAACACGGACGAGTAAAAAAAAATAAGGACTCCGCACCGCGATACTAGCAAGTGAAGCAGCATTTATGCTGTATATGTGTGCGTGATGTGTAATAAATAATGTAATAAGAACTGGCTTACCTGTGAAGGGTAATCCCTTGCCACTTTTTTGTAATGTGGTATTATTTTTGCACCATTTAACGACACACGACGTCATTATTTCAATTTTTGATACGCGGACGTAATGGCAGCCGATCGGCTTATATTAGTGTGAGTGTGTGCGTGTAGGTTCATATTTACACGTAGCTGGCTTGTTTTGGGGTGCTTCAATTTTTATGTAGGTGACGCGGAGTCCTTACTTTTTTTACTCGTCCGTGCGTTTGAACATACATTTAACTAAATGCAAGTAAACGTGGTAATAATGTAAAAAATTTGCTCGTCCGTGATTGTAAATATTCAGTTACCTAATATTTATTAAACTATATTCAAGACATACGCATATATATAACGCTTCATATAATAATTATGGAAATTAGATATTAATAAACGATATTTGAAGAATCTCAACTTTTCTAATAATACTAAGTCGAATTTAAACGCTCAATGCGGCGTTTAGAAAATCTGTTAATATTGTGTTGCTAAAGTGATTTACAATACTTTAACAAGTTTTTGTTTCAAAAAGCAACATATCGGTAATCTAAAAATACATTTTACTGTAAAACTTACTGAAAATTACACAAATTTCAAAATATAATGAGAGTTTCTGATTGATTTCAATTGTTATAAACACTTCAAATTACTTTAACTAAAACAAATTAATTACCAGAAAGGACCTTTTATCTTAGTGAAATTAACTAGACCCCACAATTATTCATTAGAGACGTGTTACTTACGACGAGTATGTCGCACGTAGACCAAGTACAAGTCTAAGTCATAATATACGACTCTTCACACTTGACGGGATTCTTCTTGTTTACTTTAGGAGAGTCGTATATACATAAGTTGTATGACTATAGTTAGTTCAGAGAATTGATAGAAAGGCTAAATTAAATTTAAAAATAACCATACCTGAATTTGGTTGGTTGTCAGAATTGGGCCGCGCCGATGGTGCACCATCGCGTGCCTCCACCTCCAACGCGTACGCTCCCTGCTTCTCCCTGTCGAACACCACCTTTGTGAAGATCTCGCCAGTCTGCATGCTGATTTCAAAGAAGTCCTTGCCTTCGTTGCGCGGCGAATCCACGATGTAATAATAAACCTAAAACAAAAAATATAAATAAATAAACTGCGAAAATAAAATTCTCTATTCCTCTAACAAGGGATTTCCCAACTGATTCTTATACTTCAAATATTCAATTTGTGTATAAATTCACTTTCTTTTAACCCCGTTGGCAATTCTATCGGAACATCCGTAAAGAACTAGAATATTCGAATTAAAATAATCCTCGCGACATGATTTTAGAATGCATAAGAACATAATGATACTGTTAATATTACGTGTTCATTTATCATACTTTTGCTGAACACACTTCTGTAGAGCAGCATATTAGGTTTACACAACATTTTTTTTTCTCTTGCTCTTTTTTAAAACGTTACATACACACTAGGATTTTCTCCTGTATCGTAAGGATAGTTTACATACATACATTTTACAAGGACAAACATAAGACCAGGAAAAATTATTTAGGGCCATAAAAATATTTGTCCCATGCTGGATTCAAACTCGCGGGCCTTAGCGCTGCAATTCATTGCGAAGTCATTGCGCCACGAAGATATTATACATTATAGATTTTATGAACTTCTTGGTAAAATTTTCCCATTTAAACGCATTTTATAAAAACTTGTTTTTAAAATATTTTTTTAACTTGAAATTTGTTATAAACGTTATTATTATATTATAAGATTATATCATACAAATTAAATTTTAATTATTCAAATGTGCACGCCTCCATCTCTCACGTTAACGTTAAAGTATCTTTTATTCACTTATTATCACAAAAATGATAGATTTAATATTAGGAAGTCATCTATCTGTATGATTACCCAAACTTAAATTCTAATCTAATATTCAACAACTCTCTAAAGGATTTCAAATAGCCTATGACACTTAAATCAGCAATGCATCTAAATCCCTCGCCTTAGATCACAAAGTCACTTATTGAGAATTTTGTAGTTGTGATCTTAATACTTGTGACTGCTCGGTGTCGATGACCTAGTATCTAAGTGGTACTTTTAATACCTTCAAAAGATAATCGAGTTTACATTTTATTGTTTACACAGTTGGTGAATAAAACAAAGCAAAGCAAAGATGGAAGATCTTAGATGAACCGCTGTTACACGGCAAGAAATATAAATCCACCCAGACGAGCTCTTACAGTTCTACTCATGTTGTAAAATAAAATAAAATCTATTAAATAAGTAAAAATAAAATGTGACTGTTATATCGAAATAACTGGCTCCTATTAAGCTCAGGGGGTTAATTGGATGCTATTAAGTCATGAATAACCCTATTTAAATTTTTTGTCTGTCTGTGTTCCTGCTCGAACTCTACGCCCGAACTAACCACCGCAATTGCAGAACCGTTTGTGATAAAACTTTACGAACAGAAATAGAGAGCAATGCCAGTAAGTGATTAAGGCTATATTTTATCCAAAACACATGCAAGATTTTTTGTGATATCGTGAAACTGATATAATAACATGGTTTTTGATGATCATCTCATACACTATAAAAAATATAAACAATATTTTGAAACACAACTTTAGGTATCTAAATTTACACAAAAAGGGTATTTATCACGGAAATCGTAATTGTCTCATTATTACTATTTCAGTGTTATTTATACTTTATCTTTTAACTTTTTGATTGTATAATATTTGAGATAACTTCTTAATACCTAAATTAATAGATCTTGATTTTCTACAATATTCCAGTTTACAAGTATACAATCCCTATAGCATATTGTATATCTGCTATAAATAAACTGTAATAGTTGTTTGTAGTTAATAGTTGTTATAAATAAACCGTAATGTGTTATTATGAAATATGTCATTAAATTTATTTTATTTATTATTTAGTCTTGTCCCAAGCCTTTTAAATGTATTATTATAAACCTTTAGTAAAAATGACAAACCTACTAAAACAAAAATGAAAAAATTATTTCAACATGATTGTTTCAGAAGTTAACAACAATAAGTTTGGTAACAACTAAAAAAACGTCTAAATAAAATCTTAATATACATATAATATATATATATATATATATATATATATATATATATATATATATATATATAACGTGTCACGTTGTTTGTCCGCGATGATTCCTAAACTAATTAACCGATTTTAATCAAATTTGCACACCATGTGCAGTTTGGTCCAACTTAAGAGATAGGATAGTTTTTTGCCCATGAGTGACCCACAATTTTTTTTGCGAATTTAAAATTTTTTAGTAGGACATGACAAAAGGCAGAACAACGTCTGCCTGGCAAGCTAGTAAAACTGTAAAATAATAAATTCAAATCTTTATCCCCTATTTGTTTACCCTTGAGGATAAAACTTGTCCATCAAATTTATATAAAACCGCCCGTCAAGAATAGCTTCTATTATATCGTTACGGCCGTTTTCAAGAATTCAGTAAAAAAAAACATAATCATTTTAGTATATAACCTTCTAATATTTGAACTCGGTTAAAATTAAGAAATTATTTTACTTGAAATTAATAATTTTTAGTTAATAGTTACCTATATTATACGTGTATGTAAGCTGTATGTTTGAATAAGAACATTTAACATCATATTTGCATACCGAGTAAACCGTGAGCTTATAAAAGGAATTAAATCAATTTTCTTCCGCCATGAGGCAGCTCGGATAAGTGATAAATGCTAAAATTATTCCGTAAATCTTTCTTTACTATATCTCGAGTATCTAAATTTGCATAGGAACATAACACTATGTGATTCCTAAGCAAATTTATCCTTCCTTCGAAAAAATCTAAAGTAGGTTTTCCTGTAAAAACGCTCTGAGGCATTTATATACAAACTTTTGATGTGTCTGACCAAAAAACAGTTAAAGACTGACAACAGCGTTATTATTTTTTTATCAGAGAATTGAAGTAGGATTGAGAACATTGGATGAAATATTTAAAGTTTCACCGCGTTGAATTTGGAATAATTTTGAAAACCCGCCTTGCGAGTGGTCTGCAGCACATGTGGAGACTGAAGAATAAATCAACGTCCTGACGTCTATGCTCATCCTGCTAATGCACCCCGTTTTTGGTTTCATTTACGCAGAAAAATAAGTAGTAGCTTAACGAACATTGTAGCAACAACATGGGTGAAAATATAATTAAAGTGAAATTTTAGAAAAACTGTATCTATATAATGTTCATATTTATTAAGAAGTTTATTAATTTTGTCCCTTATAATAATAATAATAAACATTTATTTCTCCCACTTTTTACAGAGTTATAATAGTTTCATAAATAGTTAAAGAGTTTTTGAGTTGCTGAGGGTGACAGGAGCCCAAACTAGGTTACCCTGTGCTTGGGTCTCTGGGTCCCCAGGCTTTATTACAACTTGTGATGTATATATTAGATGTGGGTTGGAGTCGAATATGAGAATTCCAAGTTGTAATTTACAATTAAAGTCATATAGAATAAATATAACATGCAATATGTTTAAACTGATAATAATAAAAGTATATAATCAATTTTATATATATATATATATACAAATATAAGTGTGTGTAGTGTGTGAGTGTGTGTGTGTGTGTGTGTGTGTGTGTGAGTGTGGTGTGTGTGTGTGTGTGTGTGTGTGTGTGTGAGTGTGAGTGTGTGAGTGTGAGCGTGTGCGTGTCATGCGTGTGCGTGTGCGTGTGCGTGTGCGGGTGTGCGTGTGCGTATGCGTGTGCGTGTGCGTGTGGCTGTGTGCGTGTGCGTGTGCGTGTGTGTGTGCGTGTGCGTGTGCGTGTGCGTGTGCGCGGGCGCGTGTGCGTGCGTGTGTGCGTGTGTGCGTGAGTGCGTGTGTGTGCGTGTGTGTGTGTGTGTGTGTGTGTGTGTGTGTGTGTGTGTGTGTGTGTGTGTGTGTGTGTGTGTGTGTGTGTGTGTGTATCTCACCATTCCGCCGCACAGTAAATTCTCTGTTTCTTCGTAATCTAATTTCATAAGCCAATCTGTTAATTTTTTTCTTACATTTATATTTTGTTAGTTAAAAAATTGAGTATTTTTTATTAACTTTATTATATAACCTGCCCATTCTGTAGCCATAAAACTTTTGGGCGAAAGTAGATTTTGCTTGTATCATTTCACATACCTCATAATTTCTTTTCTTAGTTTGTAGTAAATTGGGTGTATACACGGTGCAAGTGTGTTTTTTTTTTAAATTGAAGATAATATATATAATTTTCTTACTGTAAGCACGTTAGCTTCACTGAATAAACTGGTTGTTGAGAAAAATTTTGGTTTATGAAGTGCAACTTTTAAAATCATTCGTTGAGCTCTTTCCAATTCAAGCATGTGTGTTTTATTGGAACCTCCCCAAACAGTAATACAGTAGGTTAATATAGATTGACACAAGGATATATAAACAGTTTTTAGCAATATCCAGTTTGTGATATGTAAGTTAGTTTACTGACTCTTTGGGTTAAATTTCTTATGTGTGCTTTGAATTTAAGATTGTTATCTATTGTTATTCCTAAATATTTGATTTCTTATGTATTTATTATGTTTAATTAGTTGCAGTTTGAACTAGGAAATTGAAAACATGAATGAGCTATAATTTTATAATTGCTAATAAATTTTGGTAATTTTCGAATCGAGAACGTAATATATTTGGTTTTATCAACATTAAGTGAAAGTGAATTAAAGGCTAGCCAATGACAGTATTAAAACAGTACAATTACAGTATTAATTAAGACGGTATTAAAACCTTCTTGTGCAATGTTAAAAACTTCTTCCCATGAATCCTCATAAAAAGTTAGTGTAGTATCATCGGCATACGATATTATTTTACAATTTTTTATATTTAAGTTACAAAGTTCATTAATGTAGTATAAAAACAGCGCTGGGCCAAGTATACTGCCTTGTGGGATGCCGTAACTAATGGGTTGTTCATCGCTTACTATGTTACCTATCCGAACGCTCTGTGTTCGATTATGTAAATAATTCATAAGAAGTAGTAACTGTTTGTCCCTTATGCCCATCATTTCTGGTTTTTCAGAAAACTTAGCGAAAGGAACTGTATCAAACGCTTTTTGAAG